TTTATCCCTTCGATGGACCTCGAGTTCATGGCCCAATTTTCGGTCCAACAGTGAAGATGATCTTTATAGGAAGAAGACAAACCTTTTTATAGATGAGGTTTCACCACCGACTTGAAGGGAGATAAGAAATATTGATTGAGATATTGTGGATGGCTTGGATTCAAGGAGTAAAGAACAATATTAATGTGATGAATCACTTAATCCCGTAACGGTTAAGAGGCAATGAATCAGAGAAGAAACGAAAGGAACCGGCACAGAGATTCCACTCAAATAATCGAGATGGATGACATCTTATAACCTCCGTTGGAGTTAAACAGAATTTCAGAAGCAAAGAACCCTAAATTTCATCGAAGAATACAAAAGTATGAAGATGGTAATCTATTAGGTTGTTTTGTTCAGCCCAAAATGTGTTTCCTAGCCCACAAAAGTACAGCCTACAAATAGAGAACAACAGAACTTTAAGTTAAGAACACGTGTCAGTGTTTCCGCTCTTTATTTAGTGACGCACTGAACATTAGAGATAAAAGCCTACGTTATATAATTAGATAGGTAGATGACCTATCAATATAATTAACACATAAGTAATTTTTTATTTAATTACAAATAGTATATGTTGGACAATTACATTTTACTCGCTTTCCTATTATATCTATTTATATCTAATTAAATTATTATTGAATATATACTTTAACTTAAAATTAAGAAACTAAATAACAAATTTATTGTTTTAAAAAAATCCATTTTTATTAACACTAACTTTAAGTGACTAATCAATTATATTTTATTTATTAACATAGATAAATATATATATATATATATATATTCCTGCTAATTCATATATATATATAACTATACTATAATCCAAATGCAAAAAAACAAATTCTTCAAAACCCTCACCAAATATATAATAATATAATTTTCATACATAGAGTATTAATATTGGATATATATATATATATATATAATAGTTAGCTATTATTAATATTAAATGATATGATGAAATATGTTATATTGATATTTTTATGATTATAGTTTTACGGATTATTCCAACAAACGTGTAAATATTTATCAAATAAAACTACTTGAACAAATCATACAACACACTTTAACTTAGACTTAGATGTTCAGGTACTCATTGAGATACGAGTTTGGATATTTTGAATTTTGGTTCAAATTTATAATACATCTTAGGTCTCACTATGGTAAATTTGTAAGTATGGATCGAGTCTGAACATAACACATCGATTTTGGTTCTAATTTTGTAAATTTTTTGCTCAAAAAAAATATTTTGTATCACATCCTTAAAGCCATACAGTAATCATATCTCTGAAGTTAAATCCAAAATTTAAAATAAAAACATAAGAAATAATACTTATTTATATATAATTAGATATTTAAGGTACTTATTTAAAAATTTAAATACTTTTTTTAGATATCATTTCAAAAGTAATGTAAAATTGAATATTTAAAGTAGATATTTATGTTTCAAATATTTATATTTATATTTATATTTATGATTAATTTGGACACTTGGATCAGTTTTTGAATTTTTTGGGTTTTTGGGTTTTTTGGTTTTTCAGATTACCCTTATGGGTTCGACTAATAACACCTCGGTTGGATATTTTTTGTACCACTCTATAAGACCTTTTATGTTTTTTTTTTTACATTTTTGATGGGGTAAGGATCAGGTTTCTGGTTTGGGTTCAGTTCAGACTTCGGGTTATGGATTTTATGTCTATGCCTACTTTAAATAAATAGAAAATGTGTTTAAAAAGCTTTCACCTAAAAGTTATCCTACGCTTTGAAAGTGTAGATTAAAATTTAGTTATATATTAACTGATAAGCATTATAACATATGCAATATGAGATATGTCATTACTAGAATAATTCCTACAATCTTAAGAGAAATATGTTAATCCATTTAAATTTATATCATAGTTTTAATTAAGCTAACATAAAATTAATTAGTAATCTACAAATATATTCTTTTTATTTCCTTAAATAAAAGTTCCAAAATTACCAATTTGATTAAAATATATATGACAATTTGGTTTCCTTAAATATGGAATGAGGCACAAGATACAATGACACAACACACCGTTCAAACTAGAGAGGTCACAGATTACCCCGGGTCGCTGGTGCTTTACATATGGATCATGGAAAGAAAAGAAAAATTATTCAGAACAAGGGTGGTATAGCACGCTGGAAAGTTTTGATGGTTTACTGAGGACAAGGAATACGAGAGCTAACCTGTCCCTCCTTCACTCAGAGTTAGGGGCCCTTGTATGGACAATTGAATGCATGAGGAATTACGTCAACTCCATGTAAATTTTGCAATAAATTTTCTAAAATAGTGAAGAAGGTTTCAGAACCTAAAAATGGCATGTGTTTGCAACATATTTAAAGAGTCTGAAGGAGAGTTTCAGTCACTCAATCCTCATACATGTACCAAAACACACAATACAAGAGCGGATAGCCTAACAAGGAGTGTTCAGATTCAACCGTCTTTCGTTATTCATATGGACACCGAATTTCCAGTTTTGTTTGTAGAGTCTTAGTTGAGTATGTTATGTTGGTGTCAAAAAAAGAATATTTGCTAACAATCACACTAGCCATACAATAAAAATTTAGATTTTTCGTATATTTTATTTTTTAAATTTTTAAAAATATTATAAATTACTATAACTGTTAAAAATCTTACATTGAAATTTTTGTGATCAATCTTTTAGAATTTTTTTTATTATAACAAGATACAAATGACGTAAAAGATATGAATAGTCAATTTTATTTAATAGATATTCAGATTAAAAAAATCTATTTACTAAATATCTTCTAAACTAAAATGTATATCATATATAAATTAAATTATATACCATACCAAATATATTATATATGTTTTTGTAAAACTTAAATTTAGCGCTCAAAAACAATATTGAAAATTGATAAGTCAAATAGAAAATAACTTACAAAAAAGGTTGTATTGTTTTATACTGAATAGCTAATTTTGTTTTATAAGAATAAAAATTACTTTAAGAAATTTTTTTCTTTAAAATAAGTATTATCACTGTGCTTAACCTTCTAATAAGACTATATAAAACAAAAAATTAGTATATGCTACTGTTTTGATTGTCCTACTGTTTAAATTTGTTTAAAATATGATGCCTACTTCTTATTTCTATAAAATATGAAAACGTAGAATTATTTTTACTATTTTATCTTATAATTAAGAAAAATATTGGTTTCTAAAATGCTACTAACATATAATCAAACCTTAATTATTATATGTGCACTTAAATTATTATATTTATCATTCAACTTTTGTTTTACACCACTTGTTGTATGCAAACCATAACTGTTGTTACCATAAGAGCATCTCCAAAAAGACACGCTATTTTAGAGTTTGCAAAACTCTATATATGAAGTTTGTAGGTGTTATACTCCAAAAGCAAAACTTCAAACCAAATTTTAAAACTATTTGTATTTTATATTATGGTCCTTATATTTGTCATAACTAGTTAAAATTCATATAATTTTTATAAATAACTAACACATATATATAAATATATTACAGCAATATTAAAGGATAAAATGTTAAACTAAAATATGAAATTATTAATAGAAATATATAATTAAATGTTAAACTATAAATAAAATACCACATTAACTCTTGTAATATTGTTTTTGTCTAGCTTTAATTTCACCAATCTTATCTTGTTGTTTTAAAAAAATAAAAAATATGTGTAAAGTTTAAATTTATTAAAAAAAAATTGAAATATTTATGAGATAGAAATTTGTAAGAGTTAAAATGATAAAACCATAAAATATATAAGAATTATAAATATAATGTATAATTGTAAGGACCTAAATGCAAATAAAATATGAAAACTTCAAATTTGAAGTTTTGAGTAGTGACACTCTATATTTGAAGTTTCATTACTCAAAACTTCAAATTTGAAGTTTTAGAATTCCTTTTTAGAGAACCAAAAACTTCATATTTGAAGTTATAGAGTGTCTTTTGGAGATGCTCTTAAAAATTTTGAAAACTCAAAGCTTTAAAGTAAAGAAAGAGAGGACATAAAAGTGAATAAAATGCGAGATAATTGGCTAAAGTGCCCTATTTGGCACCTATAATTAGAGAATTGCCCATGATGTGACAATCACTTTCCTCTGGACCATTTTGTCCTTCTCTACACTCTCTCTCCTCTCTTTGACATCTCCCCCTCTTTTTTTCTTTTCTCTTCAATCCCTAATTATTTTACAAATCTCTATAATTCTATATACAATTAAATTTTAAATTTCATTATTTTTTCATAAGTGGCTTTAAATCCTCAATTTTGACCCTTTTTTTTCTCTCCAATCCCTAATTATTTTACAAATCTCTATCATTCTATATACAATTAAATTTTAAATTTCATTATTTTTTTCATAAGTGGCTTTGAATCCTCAATTTTTTGATGATATCAATTTTCTGGGTTTTAGTTTCGACGTCGTGTTAGCGGTTAACAAATATTGTAGACGTTAACAAAAGTGTTAGGTGTTAACAATTATTTTTACGCTTCGCATTAATAAATGTGTTCGCTGTTAACAAATATTGTATACGTTAACAGAAGTGTTAACTGTTAACAATTATTTTTACAATTCGCGGTAATAAATGTGTTGGCTGTTAACAAATATTGTAGACGTTAACACAAGTGTTATATGTTAACAAATGTTTTTACGCTTCGTGTTAATGAGAGGAAAGAGAAAGGGCATTCTCGGCATTTCCTTGCCAAATGGTTGTGTCAGTGTCCTTCATGTCCAATCAATGGTATTTGCTAATTTGAGCTTCAAATATGGGTAGTTCACTAAATCACTCATAAAATGCAAGGCGCAACTTCGTAACCATTGATGAAGGCGATGTGATAAGTGTAACCAGGTGTCATTATTTCCTTGGTCATCTTCTGGCCATTAATATCCCATCTCCCAAACTAACACTCTTCTTTAACACACACCCACACACAAAGAAAGCAAGCCTTTAATGCTTAGACTCTTGTTCACGTGAAAAACAGATTGAAATTGGATACACACAGCAGATTCGGTTTTGGTACATCATCATATCGCATCTATAAATATCTACGACGCATAAGTCTTTACTTCCCAAACTAAACTGAGATGAGTTTTGGACTTCGTCTTCTTTTGTTTCTCATGCTAACCCTTCCACTTGTTACATCTTCTAGCCGCAAGACTCTTTCTGTTTCAGGTTTCAACTATTTTAAATTTAATTTTTCCTTCTTTAAGTTTCGATTCTCTAGACTATAACCGAAGTTCAATTGTTTTTATTTGTTAGGAATTGGGAAAACAGAGGTAGCAAGAAAATTATTGATGGTGAGCATGGAGGATTATGGTGATCCATCTGCAAACACCAGACACGATCCCAGCGTTCCCACCAATGCAAAGGCTGACACAACACCTTAGAACCCTTTTCACTAAACTATGTTGAATAAATACTGTACAAACAATAATCTGCTTTAAGTAAAGTTCAAAAATAAATCTGTTTTAAGCGAGTTGAATTCTATTCATCTGAGTAGCAAAAATTGGCAAAATTTGAAGAAACCCACGTAAGCTATGTACCACTCAATTTGGGGGCAGTAAGACATGGTTTTGGTGTTAAACAAAAAAAAAAAGGGACGTTTTGGCACATTAGCTTTTGACATAAACATTATTTTGTTTCTAATATGGAGCTTCAGGTTAGGGTTTCAGAACCTTATAACCATGGACTACTGAGTGCATCTTTCCCTGAAAGGTTTCGCCAAGGTTCTGCGGATGAGATCTAATAACTCTCTCCAACGGAAATTTACCTTCTTTTAATTTAGAGAATACCTGCAAAGCCCGAACATCGGACTGAATTAGATAGCTGTGCAAACATGTATAGCAGCAGTAGCGTATCCTGAAATCATAGAATAGTATATGATACTGTAAAGGAGAAAGACAACTGAAACATTTCCCACATTGCAGTTTCCCTGGCCTAGGCTTCGCAGAAAAGACCTCTATTTCTCTCAAAGAGCAGTACCAAGAAGGAGGCTGGGCAATTCTAATCATGGGAAAGATATGCTCACCTCTAATTATGAGACCAATAAATCCCATCTGAGCACAACTTTAGCTAGAAGACATTCCAGCTCTGATGGCCGCTAGTTTGGGAGATCATGTCTAATCCAAGAAAAGCACTCTCTACATCTTCTTCATGGTTACTACAGGTTCCTTGCTACCAAATTATAACGAAAAAACTATGAATGTGCTGATCCTGCAGGAGTATGGGGTGTCCAATATTTGGGGTCAATTTGGGTTTGGATTTTTGGAAGCACAAATGTAGTCCCATTTGGATATTATAAAAGTTCGGTTTGGTATCGGTTTGGGTTTACTCGGGTACGGTTCGACATAGTAATATCCAGTTGAACTTGTTTTAAATTTGTATTCAGTTCTAATTCCGGTTTCAGTTATCCATATACTTATTTTTGACTCGAAAATATATATTTAAGTTCATAAACTTGAAAAATTTAAACAATTTACATTAACAAAAGCTTGATGGCATGACTAAAAAGTAGTTGTTAAGAAGAGATGAAAATAAACATGTTAAAATTTACAAGTTAACATCTCGATAAACGTATGAAACATCATTTACACTAAGAAAATAAAATAGTTTTGAAACTTTTGAAGAAAAATTAATTATATCCAAACTTTAAATACAATTTCAAAATATAAATATCTTAATGTTTGATTTTAATGTTTGATTAGTTATGAAAAATATAAATTAAACTAAATACTGGAATTAATTTTCATGTTATAAATATTTATTAGGGTACTTATGCATGTTCGATCTGAGGTATTTTGTGTTTTTGAAAATTTTCAAGTCAGTTAATTCACGTCCGGTTTAGATTAAAACTAAAATCTAAAGTACCCTAAAACAAGATCCATTTGGTTATTATGTTAGTTTCACTTCGGTTCAGATTAAATCGGTTTGGATTTTCTCTATCGGTTTAGACCATTTAGGATTTTTCTATCAGTTTAGACCATGTAGGATTTTCGCATTTGGTTTTTTTGTCCACTTCTAAGAGCATCTTCAACTCCACTCCATAATTTACTGCAAAATGGAATGGGAAATGGAGTAATGAAGAAACAAGAAAAGTGATTACTCCATATTGTAATGAGATTTTTGTTTCTTCATCACTCCATTCTCCACTCCATTTTGCAGTAAAATATGGAGTGGGGTTGGAGATGCTCTAATAGTTTTGCTGGAATTACAAAAGGTGTCTTTTAAAAGGAAATGAAAGACTGATGTTACAAACAAATGATGCAGCTAAGAATACAAATCTGTTTCCGAGAAACTTCAAAGGTTTCGCGTACATTGACTGAAACAAAAAGCTATAAACACACATTTCATGGAAAATGTGATCTGTGAAAACGATCACAATCACATTTTTCATATCAAATACAGAACATATAATTAACATAAGATTTATGTACATCGATTTTGTAGGAAACAGTACATTCGAATCATTTACTAAAAGTACAAGAAAATTAATTTATACATTAAAATCTTCCTTAGAAACAGGAAACCATTTTTATTTTAAAACCATACACAAACACTTGAACCCATTATGGATAACTTTAAAGAACTCCCATTACTCCATAACTCTTTGAAACTCATGTCTGAATCACAACTTCTTGTCCCATCATCCTTGGCATGTCGTCAATCGCCTTATGTGGCGGCAAGGGCAATGCCACTTTGCTGCCGTCGTAGGCGGAGAGGTGAACTCCGATGGCAGCCCTTCCCGATGGATCCATATTGTTGGACCAGCTCGCATCCCACTCCACCGCTTTTGCGGTCGAGCAAGCCACGGTTGCACCACCAGGAACAGTTAGCCTTGCTGAGTTCTGCGCAAAAAAAAAAAAGCAGCCCAAAAATTTATAAATTTGCTAAAACAAAAAAAAGTTTCCATTATATAAGAGACTCACTTGTGGGAAGAACCGCTCAAAGATCATTCTGTAGTAGTAAGCTTCTTTGGTGAGTGGGGTGTTGTGAGGGAAGATATGTGCAGCGTTTGCCATCATCTTGTCATTGACCTAAGAACAGAAGGTAAATAATCAGATCTAGACCGAAATTTAGCTAAACAGAAAAGGTATAAGATCTTTTGTGTAATACATTTTCCGCAGCATGGGCTTTGAGACCATCAATCCAACTGTAGCCAACACCATCACTAAACTGCTCTTTCTGTCTGTAGAGGATGTGTTTTGGCAAATAAGGACGTTCTTCATCGTCAAAGGCTCTCCTCAAAACCCATTTCTCAATCCTCCCTTCCTCTGGTTTGATCTAAAAACAAAACATACAGAAATTTTGTGTTAAGCGAGTGTACGTAAGATTGTGAAAGAAGGTAGTGAGTTTTCGTTGTTACCATCTTGGATTCAGGGTCGAGTGACATAGCTGTGTTGATAAACTCTTTGTCCAGAAAAGGGACACGCGCCTCCAGACCAAAAGCAGATGTAGCTTTGTTGGCTCTCAAACAGTCGTACTTGTGAAGAGCCTTGATCTGCAAGGTAAAAGAGTTAATGATCTCTTTGTCTTCGGTGATGTTTATTTGTGATTAAACTGAATAGTTGATATACCTTGCGACAAGTTTCTTGGTGAAACTCTTTCTTGTTAGGTGCCTTGTGGAAGTAAAGATACCCTCCAAATATCTCATCCGAACCTTCACCGGAGAGAACCATCTTAACACCTAGAGACTTTATTTTCCTGGACATCAAGAACATCGGTGTGCTAGCTCTAATCGTCGTCACATCATAAGTCTCGACATGGTAAATCACATCCTCAATCGCATCAATTCCGTCCTGTACCGTGAAATGGAACTCGTGGTGCACCGTCCCCAAATAGTCAGCCACTTCTTTCCCCGCCTTCAAGTCCGGGGAGCCCTAACAATATTGTTGCATTTTAATTTTAAAAATAAATTGTTATCTCATTAAAAAAAAAAACAAAACAGAGGAGCTCTGTTCTATGTATCTCACCTCAAGACCGACGCAGAAGGAATGGAGCTGAGGACCCCAACGCTTAGCGGCCTTGGTACCGGCCAAGTGTCTCGCAGTGATGGAGGCAACAAGAGAAGAATCAAGACCACCAGAGAGCAAAACTCCAAAGGGAACATCACTCATCAACCGCTTTATCACAGCCTAAAGACAATAAAAACAAACAGATTAATTTCTAAACACCAGACACGAACAAAAATCATATATATTAATTCGGAGGTGTTACGTTCTCAAAGGCGCGTCTAATGGCGAGAGGCTCGTAAGGCGTGGAAGGAACAGATTCATTGAACCAAGGAGGATTGTACCACTGCCTAAACCCTCCTCCTGATTTGCTTGAATACAAATGACCTGGAGGAAACGCTTCGAAATGCTCACAGTCTTCGTGTAAGCCTTTCATCTCCGAAGAGATCCACACAGATCCATCTAATCCCCACCCAATGTAGAGCGAAGTGACACCAATCGCGTCACGAGCCACCATGAATGAGTTATCTCTTGTGTCCAGCAACACAAAGGAGAAGATCCCATCCAACATATCCACAAAATTCTCACCATGCTCCTCGTACTGTGTCTCTCGAACACACATCAAACTCGATCAGATCAATCAAAAAACAAGAAGCTACTTAGCAAATGAAATCACACACGTACCAGGTGAGCAATGACGTCACAGTCACTACCGGTGTGGAATTTGTGATTCTTCAAACCCTTTCTCAGCTCCTCATGGTTATAAATCTCTCCATTCACCTTCCAACAAAGCCAAGAACAGAAAATTTTCAGCTTCTAGAATATTAAAAGAGTCGCAATGACTACATATGTATCGTTCGTAGTTCTTGAAGCGTACCGTGACAACAATGGTCTTGTCCTCGTTAAAGAGAGGTTGATCACCGGAAGCAGGATCGATGATGGCAAGACGTTGATGGGCTAAGTAATTGACCCCGTTCTGATAGATTCCACTCCAGTCAGGTCCTCTGTGCCTCAATCTATAACCAAAATATTTAAAGGAAAAAATTACCAAAAAGATTTTTATATTTTCTCCAAAACATTCAACCACCAAAGAAAGTCACGTTTTCTTTTTGTTCAGAGATATTTGATATTTCACACGATTGATTTCTTTAAGCATCACCTTTCTTTAAGGAACACAGTAATTATAGTTAAAATATGGTATTAGATCCACATCAATACTCATCATAATAATCTGAAACAAACATAACATTCTTGATTGTATATTTTGAGGTCTAGCATCAAACTAATCATAATGTGATTTGCCGATTTTACGTATGTTTTAACGTGACAAACCAATTATTTTTCCTATTTTCAAGAACCCAAAGCATAGGAAAGTTTTCTCACCTGCGAGAGAGCTCAAGAACACGAACTCTCTTGGCCTGAGAATCGTCGGAGCATCCTAAAACGGCAAGAATTCCACACATGGTTCGTTTCGGTCGTGAAAAGTTTTAAAATTCGGTGCAAATATGAGAGATGTCGAGAAAAGAAGAATTGCACGTCGTGCGTTTTTATCGCTTTGCTTGTTTGATGTGTCTTGTTCTCTGCGACCGATGGCTCTATTTATAGACTCCAAGCGGCGCCGCGATGTCGCGTTTCGTGGGAAGGTATCATTTGTGGGGCCATTTTATTTTTTACCCCCCAACCGGATAAGAACCGGATAGCTCTGACCAGCTGTTGCCACGTGATACTTTTACCAAATGATTTGGTACTTCTTGCTCTTTTGCCGGGTTTTTCCAATTTTTTGGTGAGATAGCTCCGGTTTAGGTTTATCCGGCTGAGTCAGCAACTGGATATGACGGTGGAAAATAGTT